ATATTACTTCTTTCTTCCTCCGATTGTCTTGTATCATCATCAATCTCATACTTGGCATATTTTCATTCTCGTTCTGCACTTTAGCTCAACTTTCCAATATTTGCACCTTTGGTCCTCGAACTATCGCTTTGTTCCGTTTTGGTCCTTTTTCGGCTCTTTTCTTCTGAATTCCATCTTTTCCATTGAAACACCTACATTACATGAATTTAATGAGATTAAGTCACAATTCAACTACTTTGTCCATATTTAAGTTATGTTTGTGAACTAAATAAGTGTGTAAAAACACACTTATCACCCACCGAGCATAAAATATAAATCGGTGTCGAGTTTATGCAATCAAATTTTTATCATCCAATCCATTTAATACTTTGTTCATGCAAACAGAATAATGAAAAATATAAATGCACAAAAACAAAATTCATCTTAAGATTGTTGGGAAATTTACACCGATTACGTGCATATTATATTCACAAAAGCATACCGGTTATTTGCGTGAAATCGAAACATAATTTCGACTTACCAAAATAGGATTTGAGAAACAAAATATAAAAGTTATCGAATCTGAATTCATGGATATGGATTCATCCCTTTCGATTCTTGAACGAAAGCAAATTATTCTTTTGATCGAACCTTGCAACATAAACATGTAAATAATGTTAATCATTTCCCAAAATCAAAAGAAATTAGAAAAATGTAGGAAGATTGATGCAAGCGATGAATTTTTGGTCGAAGCAAGTGTTTGACACTTGATTCTTAAGATGAATTTGCCCCGTATCGGTGCTAACGGTTTTTCGACAATCATCTCCCAAGATACAACGATCACGTCAAGCCATAGGAGCACCGACAATCATCTCCCAAGATACAACGATCACGTCAAGCCATAGGAGCACTCCAAATGACTTCGACCAGCAAACTCGAACGAAATTCCTTCTCTACCAAGGAAATGCATGAAAATACTATGAAATTAGAAATGAAAGAATTGCAAGAGAAGAATGAATGCTCAATGCAATTGGTGTAACCAAAATCATGTCCATAGGGTTCTATTTATAAATGTAGAAATGGTGCAAATGAAATAATGTGGACCAAAACATGCTTCCTTTCGAAAAGTTGCAACTCTTGGTCAAAATCTGCATCCTTTCGAAAAGTTGCAACACTTCATTTCTTCCAACTTTGGTCCGCAATTTCTCATGCATCCGGAATTAGTTTCAAAATTCCAAATATATCACAACGATTTACTCGACGAGTAGAATAAGTTGGTCTATTTACTTTTATAATTTGACTTTCGGATGAAGTCCGAATATTTGGTCGAAGTTGACACATTGTCACACTTTTTACTTTTACACACCTTTTCAATTTCCAATTTTTGGTTAATTATTTGAACCAATTCCTACAAGTTCGTCATAATGAACCGGCCTGTCGGACTTGTTTATCTGGTCCAATGACCCACTAAGACCAATTCGACTTGCCCAGCTTATTGAAAAATTAAAACATAATCTTACCGGCTATAAAATTTTTACGCTATAATATAAGAACCGAGCTCCACGTATAGGAGCTCGATTCACAGCTGTTTGGGGTTGGGCCCCACACGTATTATTAAAAAAAATAAAAAATGGGGAGCTCGCCCCCACCTCTTTCTCACCTGGTAGGGGCCCTATACGTGCATCATTTTTCATAATATAATTACATTACTAGCAGTAAAGTCTAGTTGTGAATTGTTTTAATATATATCACAAACAATATAATGATGTAACCCGTAAACACATCAATATGAATATTCATCTTCTTAATCATGATTATTTCATATAAAATTTCTGAAAATCGAAAAAAAATAAAACTTAGCGGGTTATATTAGCCTGGTTGGCAACAATAGCTAGCCCGTGAGTCAGTCTAGTCTAGTTCTACATTTGTCAAGGTCCTTATAATTATAGGTCCTCATCAGACCCAAATCGAGTAAAATTACTTAGAAGCTCTACCTAAAACAAAAGTAAAATTACTTAGAAGCTGCTTTTTTTCACTTTAGCCAAATATGTTATCTTTCCGAACCACATTTGCTTTTCTTTCTAAAGATGCTTAATTAGAACTTTAGTAGAAAGAGAAGAGAGGAAACAATATTATGATTATGGACATTAGATTCATAGTATATTTTCTCTTTTAGGAAATCCTTTACTTGATGAAGCTTAATTGGCGGAGAACTTTCTTAAAATTGATCTCTCTCTTCGTACAGTTAATTAATGGCACAATCTTCTAAATATACTCCCTTTTTGAATCCCCCAATCATTGTTTGGTTCTATATTTGACTCACTGTGCTTAAGCAAGAGATTATTAGTGAGCCACTTTGAATAATTGAAAGAAGGGAAACTCTACAACTTCGTTGACATTTTGATTAATGGGTGTATTGACTTTGGTGAAGCAATTTTGGTGGTTGAAATCAGATCACAATTTCTTGAATCCTTGTTGACACTTGTTAGATTCACACTTGTTGTGAAAAACCATCAAATGAAAGGGAAAGAGAGGACACACACCAGAGATAAATCAAAACACTATTTCATGTCTAAAGTTAAAAAGCGAAAAATTTATATCATACTAAGAGTGGCTATGCACAAGTCATTTCTGGATCCATGGTCCAATTCGCCCTTGAAGAGCCATAGGCCAAGCACTTAATTTATGCTTTTAGATTTTAAACTTTTTTGAAAAGACAGTGATGATTTTGAGCTTTGAGCATTTTGGAATGAGTAATTTACACGGACCTACTTACTTTATATAATTCATTTTTCCTGACAGTTACACTACTTGTACAGATGAAAATGCCAGGGTGCATTACAGGTGTAGTGTTGGTAGCACCTCATTGGATGCCATTATTGTGTTTTTTGTGCGAAATCCAATGGACCTATCTATAAATATTTTTTGTACATGTAGCATCTTTATTTTCCCAAATTGTGACTTGCATCCAATGACTTGTATAGGCCATGGGACTGGACACTCAGGCTCATATGAACTTGCCTTTATAGGTGGATTGGTCGACAAGACATGTTCCAACTGTGTTGGCTTTGGGCCTAGTCTAGCTTTACTATTTCAAAAATTGTGTTTAGCAATTGTAAAAATAGAAGTTACCAAAGACATTTTATAAGGTTTAGACTTATGTTGCAGACTTCGACGTTACAATAGAGTAGAAGAATATGGCAACAATCAATGACACTTGCGAAAGGTCTTTAGGGAATGTTATCTTTTATTTTTTGCAACGTTCATTGATTGTTACTAATAACATTTTTACAACACTCAAAGAACGTTACAAAATGTGACCTTAGCAAATGCATTTAAGAAAATGTTGTCAAAGTTCAATTATGTTAACCAATGACAATATTTACTTATTAGAATGTTGTGATAAACCCCTTTAACAACACTCAATTAAAAAATGTTGCCTTTTGAATGTTGCAAAAGGCAATTTTTGTTGTAGTGCATGCACCGAATGCACCTTTGGTCTAAGAAGATCCCTTGCAATAGATCATCCATGTTTGCTAATTTCCTATCATATAGATTTAGAAATTCAAACACCTTAAATACAAGAAAGTGTACGTGTGAATTTCATCAAAAAACATGTCTACATTGTTATTATACATTGCAAATCATAATACTATGACAACATTTTCAACTTTGGGAATCATCATCATATAGGTTCTTGATTGAAGCAGTAGTATCAGGATTTTTTTTAGCTATTCCTCGAAGTTTTGTGGGATTTTATCTAATAAAATGCATTCAGTCATCTTCTTCTGGACAAGAAGTACGAAGAGACCATCAATTCTTAAATTTTTAATGAACTTTTGAAAGATATTTCTATTAGTTTGTTTGTTTCTATTCAATTTCCCACTTGTCTATCTTGAAATTCATATTAAAATATTAGAGTTGATGGCATTATAGGTTTCCTTATTCTACACGAATCCAAATTTCCCTAGGGTTTCTTTCTTTTGCCGAATCACTTTTTTCTTTTAATCAATCGAAACATCTAATCTACTTTTCTTTTTTATGAGTGAATAGGTCCCATACATTCTCATGAAGGAACAATTGTTTTTTCTACCTTTTTGTTGAACTATCATATTTCATCATGCCAAATTAACTCATACATTTTTCACCATCCCATTTTTCAACAAGTGCATGTTTGGTTATAAAAAAATTACTTATAAATAAACAAGTAATTAAAATAAATAATTTTTCCATTGGTAATGAAAAAAAAAAGTAAGTTCCTTTTTTTCTTTCTAAAAGAAGAAACCATTGCCCTTATTCAAATAAATAATCTAAACATATTTGAAAGTAGAAAGTTATCTAAATTTTAAAACTTAAAGTTTTACCTAAACCTTAATATGATGATAGCTGGACCAAACCATGGTATGTTTCATCAATTTCTTGATTGGATTGGTCAACTTGGTCCGAATTTTAAAAACTGTGTTTAAGATAATGGGTTTTGCTATTCGTCCAGGGCCACATGAACCCATAACAACGACGGACGCATGTGTCACCTATTGGAGTGACTCTAGCAAAACCCTAAGATAATACTGTGGGCTCGTCTACCAACTTGGCTCCCCAAAATATTTACCATCGAGGATGTTTGGTTAATATCGCGATGAAAGTAAGTTGACTTAAAAGTAACTTTTATTATGTGTAGCCATATATGTTTGTAGCACTCCCCTATTTGTAACATTAGTTGCAAAGAATATAGATCCATTTGGAATAGCTTAAACTATTGATAAAAATTTAAATTAAAATTAACAATTAATTTTAATAACACATTTCATAGAATCCAAAATGTTTATGAACTTTTTTAATTGTACGATACATCACGTTTTATCAGAATCTATTACAAATCTTATTTTAGCTACATCAAACAAAAGAGCATAAAAGTCAACAAAATAAAATACGTGGCCAATCAGGTTTATTTCAAACTCTAATCAACTATGAAGCATAAGTCCTATATATATGTGTCAAATGGCGTGAATTGAAGTGGATGAAAATCAAGAAGAGGCATGAAGAGTCATCAAGAGCCTCGTTCAGGCTCTTCCTGTGCAGCCTGCAAGTTGTTGAAGCGAAGGTGCACTCCTACATGTCAATTTGCACCCTATTTCCGGTCCGACGAGCCGAATAAATTCGCAAAGGTACACAAGGTGTTCGGAGCAAGCAACGTGAGCAAGATCCTAAACGAGGTGCCGGAACAGCAACGTGAAGATGCCGTGAGTTCGCTCGTTTACGAGGCGGACGTGCGGCTTAGGGACCCGGTTTACGGTTGCATTGGGGCTATAGCTTCATTGCAGAAGAAGATGGTAGAGCTTCAACATGATCTGATTCTTGCTAGAGCTCGACTTGCCTATTATGTTGATCAGACTGTTTTGTTTTCTGGTGATGGAGTCAATATGTGCCCTGTGATTGACATGGTAGAGGCCTCCAACGGCCAGGATTGCTTGTCTTTTGATCATTTTAGCCAATTCCCATTTCCATAATCTCTCTCTCTCGTCTGTTTATAATTTCTTGAAATCTTGAATTAGTGGCAGAAATGTTGAGGTATCTCTGTTCACTTACTACGCTCATTGTGCACAAATTTTGTAGTGTGTTATCTAATAAAGATTTGGGCACTCTTTTAACAAAATTGACATTTTAAGACGGAAGAGAGACTCAATTCAGTTTTTCACTACGGAAATTTAGAATTTTCCGTTTAATCACTAATTATGCCAAAAAATCATAATAATATTACAAAAAATTGCTGACATGCTTGGCAATAGCCTCCACGGGCCATCCCAGCTATTAAACAATCCACTGAGATGGATTAAATCGAAGCATACTCGAAATAAAAATAAAGATTCCCACTATATGTTCAACTGATTTGTTGATTGGAAGTTATTGAATTCTCCCATAATTGAAAACTTCTTCTTACTAACAATCACAATTAATAAGAGCTTAGGAATTTATTTTTTGATTTCTTAAGAGTATGTTTTAAGGTTGTCAGGGTTTATTGAAGGACCACTTTGATATGTTTACTATAAATATTGAGAGATTATGAATAATTCCATCAATATTCAATAAAAATTTATTTTCAAGAACTTGCTGCGTGTCATACTTTTTTCATACATCAGCACATCATTTCTTTGTAACAAATAAGAAGACACTAACATATTTTTAACATTTCAGCACATTATTTTGTTACTAGACTGCTACTAAAGCAGTCTATATTCATGTTTAAAACCCTTTTCACGATCGAAGAATATAAAGGAAAAGAAAGCATTCTTAATCTTAATCAACAACCTTATTTCGTAAAATAAAAACTAATTTACAGCTCTTTCTGGGTTTCAAACTCAGGTCCAAACCAAAACCATTGTCAATGTACCTACGAACTTCATGTGCTATCATACCCTGCATTATCGTCGCCAAACAAGTCTCTTTAATCACAATCGTTGATTTCCCCTCCATCTTTGATCACTACGAATTACTAGCATGATCTGTCACAGGGTCCTGGGGAAGGGGATTGAGTGACACCAACAGAAGTATTCTGATTTCCCTTTCTACGCTGTATTCTTCTCCTTGTTATGCAACCATGAACTGAAGGGGCCACATCCTCGTTTATTTTGATCATCATGAAGAAGATGATCCTGTAGATGATAATCATGCTGAAAATGACACTGAGATTCACCCATTTTGATCGTCGCAAATTAATCTGAAAGATGTTTTCTAATATGAATTCTCCAGGAATTTTGGGAAGATCCGGCGTCTGGTTGTCAAAGACCAAGCCTTCGATGTCATTTTGACATTCCCCCTGAGGCACTAATATGATTCATTAACAGAACAGCACATATATATTTCCACAGAGTGCAGCCCTGGAGATTCATTTAGTATCAGTAAAGAGATTTCTACCTGTACAGCCCAATAGTGGAAACTAATGTAAGTCATTGGGTAACGCCAGAAGGGCTTTGGGATGTCGTTTGGGAGTCGGAGGTACCCAGAAACCAGCATGAATATCCCCTATAGCATGTCGAAGAAACCTTCATATCAGTTCTTACTCATCAAGAATAGACTAGAGTGAATTGGGTGAAATATGAACCTGAATCCCTGCGCCTGTGATGATTCCCATGAGGAAGTTAGGGACAACAGTTGCTATAGCCATCATCAGGCTCTCAACCACCGCTACACTCGCATATAAGCATAACAAGAAGTACAGATAATGTGAAAAACCAGGATGGAGGCGCACCATGAAGTAGCAAATAGTACCGGAAATCAAGGTAATTAAAATCAGAAATGGCATTGCAGATAGTGTGTTGCTGACGACAAAAGCAGCCACCCCATAGTGGCCATTGAGCCTTTCCCGTTGGAAAACCTACAACATGAGCAGTCGAGAACAGAATACTTGGTTTTTGTTATCTTCTTTAAACAGCCAAGCCAGTAGATAAATTGTAATACATACCTTCATATCTTCCACAAATGAAGGAAAACTGCCAATAGCCATAAACGTTACAAAACCAAAGACAAAAGCAATGCATCCGCCCCTTGCCTGTGACACAAGTAGTAAGACATTTTTCCCCTTCGTCGTAAAACTAAGTTGCTCAGTTTGACAGTAATGTGAGTTTCTATTAGAATAAGTTTTATTTTTTTATATCCGATATAAACATACTTGGAAACTAGAAGTTAAAAATGTAACTTCTACTATTTTTAAGCTTAGCCAAACGTCTGTAGTATATGAGAAGTGAAGTGGAAAACAGCTGAAATGCTGTCATTAATATTACCAGGATGGAACTGTATCCGGTTCCAACGTTCATATAGATGGTCCCAATGGAAAGGGTCACCATAATGTAGATTCCAAGCCTCAACCAGTAATAACCAAAGTCCCTAGACATATTAACAAAAGAACGTTTGGTTAAGATGAAGGCCTGCGTGAAAAAACTAGCCTGACTCCCTCTTGAATCGAGCACCATTCCTTTCTGCAGAGCAATTCAATACAAATTACAAGGGAAGATTGAAAAGCAGACGATAGATTCAAATTAAGGCTAAAAGGGTGCTTACAATTTTGGACTTCTCCTCGATCTTTTCTTTTGCTGAATAATAATAATGAGAGGTATGATAACAGTCAATAAGTGTGTGCATAGCCTCAGCTGTAGTTACTTTGTCTAGAGGATCATCGTTTCTCTCAATCTGACAGCAAAAAAAAAAAAATAGAGTTGTTAAAACATGAATTCGGAGGAAAAATTAATGAGCATAAAATTATCGACGAACAATTTGTGCTAAAAAGAGCAGATTTCAAAGTGGGTTCATTTTCACTCATTAGTTAGCCATAGCGACCAAAGCATTTTCCTTCTGTTCTAATAGCTATCTTCCTAGATCTTTGGCATTTAGTGTAACTAGTTTACAATTTTGTCCTCGTAAACATGACATTCTCGTATGAAGCTAGCAAGATGGTCTTACAAAATTTCATCCGAGAATGTTTCAAGTATCTACATGAACCAATATAATTCTCAGCCCCTCGTCTGCTTAATTCTGGGATAACGGGCTTTAGCTGTGATGATGTTAATAAATGTCTTATCCATAATAGAAATATCATACAATTACAACATTCTCGCATTTTTGAATGATGAAAAACCACATAGGATAACTAAGATAGCCTACAAAAAGCAGACCAAAGACCATTGATATGAACTTGATTTCTTGGGGTAGATTGGCTGAACTGCCAATGATGGAAGCTCAAATGCATGCTTGTACTGCACAGTGTTATGCATAAAGGCCATGAGAGAATCCATCAACTGTGTCCGTATAACTAACGAAAAATCTAATCCTAGTTTATGGAATTCGTTAACAGGTATTCCATCAGAAGCACTACCACATTGTACTAACAATCAATTATGTTAATCGACACTTTAAATATATGAATACGATATTATGGATTAACTGTTTTAAATAAAATTAGTGTTTTTCAGAGTGCAGGATATGATAGACAGAACAGTATTTTGCATGAAGAACATAAACCCCAAGCATCAATTATCCTCTTCCAATCAGGAGTTTATTTCAACATGATCAGAAAGCATGTAGAAAGAATTTGTACCAGGAGTTTCATTGATCCTTTGAAAGATGTTTTAACTTTATCAAAATCAGAATTTACACATCGGAGAAAATGATCAGATGGGTTTCTGAGAGCAGGACAAGAAAAGCCAGCCTGCGCAAAGAACTGAACACACCAATTAACATAAGATATTCATTCTCCGTAAGAAAATGTGCCGCACTAAAGTAGTGGAAAAGAAAGAATAATACGTTCTTGCCTCACACGCCTCTGAAGCCTGACCAAAGTAAACTGTTTTCCCTCCAGAAAGCAAGTACAATTGATCAAATAGCTCAAAAACTTCACTGCTAGGCTGGTGAATGGAGGCTATGACAGTCCGTCCACCTCTAGACAGGGCACGTAGTGTCTGAGTTACAAAGAAAGCAGACGCACTGCCCAAAGAATAAACCACCCAAGTGCTCAAATAAGATATCTTTACAGAAAGAGTGCACGAAAAACAGCATCACAGGATAAAACACAATTCAAAATTAGTTTCTAGGGAGACGATGTATGCCCAAAATTTACAATGCTCAACTATTTGCATAGGGTAAGATTAAATTCATATGAGTATTACTAATCAAAAATCAAGAGCTATTTTTTGGCCTTCACAACAAATACTAAGCGTCTCATTCCCTGTCTCGACCACAAGAGTGATGAATGATGACCAGAGAATATAGGTGCTTAACCTGTCAAGTCCAGTGGTTGGCTCATCAAGAAAAAGCAACTTCGGCCTCATAAGGATCTCAAGTGCAATGCTGAGCCTCTTCTTTTCTCCTCCACTGATGCCACGCAAGTGCCAATTCCCAATGACAGTGTTCGCACAATCTTGAAGACCCATTTCTACGATGGTGCTCTCAACCAATGCATGTTTCTCTGATACAGGCTTTTCATCAGGAAGGCGTAATCCGGCTGAATATGAAATTGTCTCACGAACTGTTAGAGTACCAATCAAGTTGTCATCTTGAGTGACATATGCCTGCATTTCAAGCAACAACTAAAACTCAAATGTCCATTTAAGTTAATCCGGATAGTCAGCACAGAGATTTAATCTTAACTAAACTTGAAATTCACCAATTGCCAAATAGAAACGAAGACATCCCAGTGGATTTACATGATAGTCTCCAGCAAATTTGTTAGAATTGAACCAGAATAAGTTAAAATATGTCGAGTAAGGGAAAATCAGGTTAACAAAAATGGGGACCGGGAAAGACAAGAAACTTAAACAAATACTCACAGCAGTCCCAAAAGAGAGCTTGGCTTTACGGCCATTGAGCAGAATGGTACCGGAAAGGAATGCGTTGGCAGGAAGGCGGCCGAAGAGGTCGTCTAACAGTGTAGATTTGCCCGATCCAGAAGGACCCATTACACAAGTAAACGTTCCTTCCTCAGCATATCCATTCGCTCCCACCAAAACATTCTGCAATTCTCCATTTCTACAACTAATAATCACACTTAAATCCTTCCAAGCGAGCCTCGCCGGAACATCTTCCTCCAATTCAGGACTCAAATCTCCTTTTTCAGCCTTAATCTCCGTTGTTACGTCATTTTCTAAGCTCCTCATCTCTGATCAATTCCTGTCTTCTTTCTATCACTCAGTCGGACTATGCAAATTGGATTTTATCAAGAGTACGGATATTGTGATTTTGACTGGCCATGAAGGAAAATTACAAATCCTTGTCCTCATCCTCAACTCCATCTCAAGCCAAGATACAATGCTAGTAAACAATCAACCACCACCATCCTCAAATTCATTAATTTCGTGATGTAAAGAAGATAAGAAAAGAACGTCATCATCTACATTTTTCCCAGTCTCTTCCATTGCTTTGTGTGCGGGTAGGTGGTAGTGCGAAGCATTTACTGCCGAATATAGCGGCATCCAGAACCAGAAGAGTTACAATTACACACTGCGCACGTAACACTGGAAGATGACTGGTTTTGATTTTGGGTAAATTTGACATTCCGTCATTGTATACTCCGCGAAATCTTGATTAGGTCACTAAACTTTAATATATGTCAACTGTATAGCTAAACTTCAGTTTAAATTCAAATTTTACCTACACGATCGAATTCAGTCACCCATCGTCCCCAAATGTTGAAATTGCTTAAATGACAACCAAATCATAATCTTTAAAATAATTGAAAAAATTAAAGCAAAAGATTAAAAAATTGTGGTCGTATACTGACATGTGATGCAATGATTGTTTGGAAGATTTGTTGGTGCACAACAGCTAATTAAGTAATGTTCATCAATTTTGAGAATGATAGTTGGGATGACAATTTTTCACCCCCGTCCTAAGGAAATGGTACTTGTCCTATATTCTTTGAATTTGGATCTTTTTATTTTACGTTTATATTTTTCAATTTAAATTGTATCAAAAAAATAAACTAGACAATCCCCATCAATCTCCAAAATTCTTGACAAGACAAGACAGAAATGATCGTTCTGAAGCTCGTTGTCACCTTTGGTGACAAAGTAGTTAAATGCACAATTTCAATGATCCAGTTCAAACTGAATTAAATTGAATTTTAGCAATTATATTGAAACAAATCAATTACTCAATGCTATCCCCAAGTAAAAAAATGAATAAATAAAGGTTTTATCCATGTAGACTTGATTTTTGCTTCTTAGTTGCTCAGAGATTCAAGAGATATGTTAGAATAATCCTATTTAACACCAATCTTGATGATATTAGGTAATGGATTTTGCTACTTGTATATGAAAATGATATATAAACGATTACTGAAAATAATGTGGAAAGAAAAGATTAAATGAAAAAATTTACTATGCTTTAAATCGACAAATTGTAAAATGTCATGTAAGCATTATGAAATCCTTTATGTAAACCTTGATGTATATGTGGCAAGATCCGTAATTTAATATGCTTAATAAAAATAAAATTAAATAACTCATTTAATTGTACTTATCATTTAATACCACATTAACACCACCTAGACTAGTGTTAAAACACCATCCCCTATTAGACAATCATTATTTGAAAATTCTTTTTTCTACATACTCATTTTAAACCATATATTCACGTAATAAAATAATCTGTATGTAAATCCAAAACTTTTTATACTTTTTAACCACACATTCCCCTAAAAATCACTATTCAAAATATTAAAAAAAAAAATTTAGATAATGACCATCGAACAGTGGCTAAATATCATTACTCAATATGTTAACATCAAAAGCCCAGAACTCGGTAATGAGAAGCAGTGGCGTTTTTTATCGGGAAAGCAAGAAAAAAAATATAAATGTAGATGAAAGTTATTACATAAGAAATAGTGCGCGTAGCCACAAACAAAAGCATCTGAATTAAATAAATATCAATGGGAAATCAAACAGGCAAAACCAACAGGAGAGGTACAAAATGACTTCTGAAATCCATTTGCTTTTACAAAATACAGATTATCCTCAGTTTATCGCCTACAGCTGCAAAAATGCCTGCTACCAAAGAATATTACAAAGAAATACATCCACCCTCTATGATAGACCACCAAATGACTATTTTTATAATATATATATATATCACGTATGGTCCGCCAACAACTTCTGATTAAAGCGAAAGGGGCCGGAAAACACAAGCGAAACCCCAAACCGATGCTATGCTCCTTTTCAAACTAATTTATAACAAGTGTAAAGTTAATTTCCACTAATGAGATCGTCAACGTGTCAGTAGGATCCCATTGGTGGCATGCCAAACGGTGGCATTGGAGGCATGCCCATTCCACCCATCGGTGGGGGTGGTGCAGCAAACCCGCCTCCCATCCCAGCACCTCCCATACCTGGCATAGGTGGTGCAGGCAAAGCAAGAGGCAGCAACTGGGCATACATATTCTGCAAGAAATTACAAACCAAAATTAGTTTTTTTGAAATTTCTAATCAATTAATTGGATAATATTTCAAATTTGAGAACTTAAGCATCAAACAAGATCCACTTCCAAGGTGTTTAACTGAATGTCCATAGGTGCAAGTAACATAACAAAGGACAATATAATTGATCTTCCAAAGATTGCTAGAGTTCGACAGAAGATGTGATGATTGATAGGATTAACAGTTATTCTTGTCATTTTTGTCATACAAGAAAAATGTTGTAGTGCCCATATGAGTTTGGGGAGTGAATAATACTACCATATATCAAATCATATACAAAGATGCATGCCAGATCAGTCGTTTTACAAGGGAAATCCATGATAAAAAAAAAAAAAAAGGTTCTTGGAATGTATACCTGCTGCTTAATAATATCCTTCTCCTCGTTCTCTTTAGCCTTTTCTTCTTTAAGAGCATCAATTTTGTCCTTGATTAATTCATCGACTTTCCCTGTGTATTCGCGGATAAACTGCAAGAAAGGAAAGATGTGAAACCAACTCGCACTTGGAAAATAAGTGCATGCTCTTAAGGCAGCTCAAGGTCAGGGAGCGGCAGTGGCAGAGCAAAGTCAATGCACACGGAACTCAGACATTATACTACTAGTAAAGTGCATGACCAATCCAGAGAGAGAAGAGAGAACAGAACAGAAAAAAGTGATCCACAAAACCACAAATGCACACGAGGTAGAGGTAGAGGTAGAGGGAGAGGGGAGAGGTAGAAGGAATCACCTGCAACAGATATGGGAAGGCAAAATCGATCATATTATTCATCCATGCTAGTTCCAGAGCAACGTCAGCACGAATTAAATCGTAACAAACAAAGAGGCATGATGCAAAGCATTCCTTCTTTCCCTGAAGTAGCACATGAACAACAATTTAGATATCAAATTTCTGCAGTTTACGATGTTGCTTATATTGAAGTACTCATGTCAAACAACTATGATTTGCAAAAACCATGCATCAACTATTAACTCAGAAACACATAAAGATGTTGATTTATTGCATTACAACATTCAAAATAGGTAACATAAGGCCAGCTTGATCAATATGGATAACATTGCCAACATTTTACCATAGATAAGAGGCAAAATATTTTCAAAGAGCATCCAAGGGCCCTAGGTTTAGATTCAACTTTAGTATAACCCTTTTCTGATACTCTTACACAATTCCCAATTATCAATGTGACTGAAATTTCACCAACCAAAGGAAAGATTATCATCAAGGGAAAAAAAAGTTCTTCCATGCCAAGTCCCAATCAGTATCTAGACTTGTGATGCAAAATAAAGCTTGTAAAGAAGCTCGTACATAAAGTTATGTTACAACAGAGAAACAGATTTAAGTGCATAGGAGAAACTGAGAAAAAAAGAAAGGTTTCAGCATTCAAAACAAGTAAAAACATCCGTGGAATTAAATTCATCATAAATAAAAATGTAGTTTGAACTTAACATGTCAAAGTTGAATTCAAGATGAGCAGTGCCAGAGATATTTTAGTTTCCTTTATCGTGCACATTTCTCTCGTGAAAATTCATATGTTAAAAAAGAAAAATATCCGGCCATTACAACAAAATGATACCTGATCAATGAAGTAAACAAGCAACTCTTCTGCAAGTTCACGATCGCCAGACTGTGAAGCAGTCTCCATTGCATCTTTGTAAAGGTTATCTTTCTTTGACAATGCAATGGATTGCTTCCACCTACCAGCCTTTTTATAAATGTAAGCAGCAACACGCCTCATTTCAAGAAGCTCATGTTTCTCAATCTGCTCAAGCCCATATAAATGGCATAAATTAGCCCCAAGATACAAGAACTAAAAAACAAAGTGAAGAAATGCAATACAGTTCACCTTTTGTGCAAGGCCAATTTGATCAAAGTTATCATGAAAGTCAATTGATTCACGTAATCTGTCATAATCCTCCTCCTCCACATAGATCTCATTAAGAGCTTCATTCACAGCAGACACATTGTTGCTCTGAACCGCAACCATGTATGGCTTAACAAGACGCAGGTGGCCAGCCTGAACGAAGCAAATGTAAAAAATCTCAGCAGAAAACTAGTAACTCAAATCAAGCATTTTTTAATTGAGAAGGGAAAGAAACCATTCAAACAGTAACACAAACCTTTCTCATTATGTCCACCACACGAGTGTGGTCAACACGAAGGGCAAGCACATTCAAAACATCATTAATGAGATCAGGGTGCTCTTGCAAATAGAAATGTACTGCCTTGTAATATAGCTCTACATTAGCAACTTTGACAATAATATCTTTAAATTGCATGTGATCCCAAGCTTCTGGAGAATGATTCATGACAGTGGTGGCAGCGTTATCAAACTCATCATACTGAATATACAAATAAGTTAGTTCCTTCCAGTGCTGCTGCTCATCACATGCTCGGATCAGCTTGGGAATGTTTAGACGGGTAGAGAATAATTTGATATGCTCCATAAGCTTCTCATAACGGTACCTAGCATACAAGACACCAAGCTCTGTAAAGATGCCCATATGTGCGCGTTCCAATCCTAAACCACTCTCCATAAGAGATATAAGCTCATTAAAGCATCCTCTGTTCTGGTAGTATTCACTGACTTCTTCCAGATCATCAACCTAAAGGATTACATTCACATGGTTAGTATGTTCAGTGAATTCTAGACTATCTAACATCAACAGTACTCATGCAAAAATGAGCAAATACGGACCAGCAATCCGCTCCTTATGCAGCTAAAGCTAAGAAACAAATTGACCAAGATATTGATTCTATAAGAAACAGTCCTAAAATACCAACTAACGTAGAGTCTGAAAATATACCTGTACAATGATATTGAGCCCACATATCTGAGCCAAGCGGAACTCTTCAGCATCAACACAAGCAAAACAGACTTCTTTCCATGTCTTTGAGCTATTAGCTTTACGTGCTGCATCGACAGCCCCTTGAAATTGCTTCAACTTGACAAGTGTGCAAGCCAATTTGGCCCAGTTAGAGATAAAAGCAAAAATAATCTTAGCTGCCTCATATAGAGCTTCATCATACAAGCGATCACCAACATTAGGGAGATTGGCAACATTTGGCATGAGAATAAACTCCTCAATGTCACCCAGCCTATCAATCTTAGCATATGCATAAATGAGCTCACTGTCCACCTTGGGCTCCTTTGCTTTCTGCCTAACCATCAGAAGATACTTCACCAAGTCGTGATAAACAT